CCCCAAAACCCCAAAACCCCGTCTCATAAGAACTGGAGGAATTTATCGAGAAACAAAATAGAAGTAAAATATTATTATAATATAGAAGAAAAGGGAAGAATTAATATTTTGAGATACCATAATCATTTCAATCAAAGTAAAATGGAAAATTCATAAAAATTTAAAAGAATGGGCTCATAAATTACAACCTATTCGATAGTAGACGATCTTGACTAAATTAGGTAATATCGGAAAGACTTGTCAAACAAGATGACTTTTAGTGCTTCGAGGATGGTAAATCTTGATTCACACTACAGACATTCTATCATTGACTCAATACTTAGGTCTAAACCTAGTCTGAATCTCAATAATCATCATCAACTTCACAGTAATGATGTTGGAGGTGATATCAATAATGAAGGAGGAACTTAAATAATGATAGAGAGCTCAAGTGATAAAGTATTGCCTAATGGCTTATCAAGTCTAACTAAGTACCATAATCTTAGGGAAACATCTGACTAAATAGGGATTCACAATCATTAGAATGCCCATACCACCATATCAAAAGATAGAGGAGGTGAGGAAGGATTTACAAATTAGCTCTATATGGATTAATCGCATAACATTGAGATTTACGCCGAATAGGATTTCTGACTTATTTAGCATTATGTCAAAGATAACAATCTTAAGCTGCTCTAATCATATAATTTAGGGAAAAATGAAATTTTAAACTTAAGATTATTCTCTTAACTTAACATTCTGTAAGCAGCATGCTTTTATAATAGCGAACTGATTGTATAATGGTTAGCAGATTAATTTGATTAAAAAAAGGATATTGAGCTAATAAAAGAGCTAGTTAATTACAGAGAACCTTATGGAGGTAATTAAACCATTCATTTCGCAGTTGTAAATGGGAATAAAAGAGTTATAGACATTATACTTCATAAGTTTCATGCTGATCCTCACGCTTTAACTTTATAAGGACTAAATGTAATGCATTGTGCTGCTTAAAGCGACAGAGGAGTCCTATCGTTATATTACTTCAATTCAATTCATGGGTTAGGGGTTGAAAGCTAGGATAGTTTTAATTGTGCGCCTATCCATTTTGCTATCCTTAATAGGTATCATTCTAATTCGTTTTATAAAACTTTAGATAGTTTAAAAGTGTTGAAAGCTTGCTAGGAATGGGATCTGATCCAAATAATAAGATAAATGGTGGATAAACATGTTTGCATCTTGCTGTTACTAAGTTTGTAGAAGAGTAAGATGATGAAAGTGACTTGTGCAAAAGAATTATAAAGGAACTCCTTTTTAATGGTGCTGCTAGAGATACAAAAGTATTATAAAATATTTTTGCATCAATCTAAAAATAGGATGATTAAGGCTAAACTCCTTTGGATATATTAAAGAATAACCGAGAGAAACTTGATGAATAAAAATACATAAATATGGCAAGTATTTTGGTAATTTTATATTTATTTTAAATTAACTAAGAGTTCTCAATCTAATTGCTTGTGCTTCATGACTCGAAGACCTCTTGAAAAGATGAAGAAAAGTCCTAAATTTATGATCTTAATCCTTGTCTTTAATGTCATAAACTTCATCATTTTCCTAGGATATTTCTAAGAATTCATATTTAACAATGATTTTTCAGGTAAGATATGCTTTTCTAAACATAATCTATAGATAATGTTAGATTATTTTACAGTTTTGGCTTTGCAAGCATTTTCTTCTTTATTTTTTCAATTGTTTTCTACATCACAAGTAATTGTATGGATCCTGGTTTCGCTCGACAAAAGTATCCAATCATTGTAAATCATTTTACTCGTTTTTAATATTTACTGTCTTTAGGACATCCTATAAATAGCTAATGATAAAAATATAGACCTCGAAAACTTTTGCTTCTACTGTAAGATAATTAAATCCAATAGAACCTTTCATTGTATGTTCTGTAATAGCTGTGTCGATAAATTTGACCATCATTGTGCCTATATTAATAACTGCTTGGGTTATAGGAATCATAAGTACTTCCTACTATTTTTACTCAGCATCTTTTTATACTTTATAACCTCTATGACTGTCTGCATTGCTGGAATAGTTATGTATGGCTCATTTGAGTTTTCAAATTTAGGCGTCTATATGTGGATCATTAGAATCTATACAATTACTATAAATTTACTACAGTTTATACCATTAGGGTATCAGCTTTATGAGTAAACTAGAAAGATTTTTAGAGTGGAGATTGATGATGAGGAAACAAGAACTCTATCAAAAACTGATAGGGCTAGTGTGCTTACTGCCAACAACATCCATAGAAGAACTAATATAGAATTATAAAATAGTTAAAATGCTTCTCAAAACCAAATGAGCAGCAATCCAAACAGCAATCAAAATATTAATTTCTAATAAATGCTATTGAGTAGATCGAATGATATTGTAATTGAAAAAAGGAGTATATGCTAAAATATACGTATGATATTTAGATATGAACCAGCAACTCAAGAATAATTAAGAGTGTTTTTGCTATCTAACTCTGAAAGATTTTCCACTTTCATTCTTAAGTAAAAGGACCAATAAAAATAGCTTGAGTAAAGAAGATATTCAAGCATCTAGGAATAATGACGCCATAAACATACAAATATACCATTTAAGTCACCAGCTCCTTAAAAAGGATATGTTCAATTTGACTTTAATTCATTTGAAGTGCTATCGAATTATTGTTTATTTCTTAATTTAGTCGATGAAATAGCTAGATTTTATACTTTAAGGGGTTTTGGGGTTTTGGGGTTTTGGGG